AGATCCGACTGCAAAATGGCACAAGTTCACAACCAGGGTACTATATGGAACCAGCAGCAAGTGATTCCCTGTGGAAAGGGCTTGAGCGTGGGGAACAGACAGAGGAACCCCTGAGTGAGAGAAGTCCTGAGTGAATGTACATGGTAGGCATGGGCATAACCTCAGACCCAAATAAAAATAGCAAACAGCCCTACCTCCCCCGACCCCTAACCCCCCAACCAGAGTGAGGCTCTGAGGCAAAGCAAAGCCTTCCTGGGGATTCGAGTGTGAATATTGACAACAAGTACAGAAAATGTCCATCATAGTTCCCCCCCCCCCCTGATATTTACAGTCTGGAGATTGTTTCCCTACAGAGATGGCTCCTACCAAAGTTAGCTAAACCTGACTCCATGATATAACGGTACACCATAAACCCTGCCTCCTCATTTGCCCCACCTTCTTGATCCAGCTGTATGCAATACATGCTCTGAACATGTGAGGGGTTCTCCATCTAAGAGCCCAGCACACTGATCCCAGTTATTTCTGTGTCTCCATGTGTCTGTCTTTTCTTTTTTCTCTCCCTGCCCTAGTCATGTCAAGTCCCTGGTGCCATGCAAGAGGGCAACCATTGAACATTAACACACATTAACAACAAGGGTTAACAAAGTGTATTATTGACTGAACTGGCAAAAATGAAAATATCGTGAATGACTGGGGTATGGCCAGTCAGGCATTTCCATACAATGCTGATGAGCGTATAAATAAATATAATCTTTCTAGAATTAGTTAGTTATATTTTTACCAAATGTCTGCCTGGTTCCTTTGATAGAGCAATTTCACTTCTAGGGATTTAAACGAAGGAAAGAACACACGGACACAAATGTATTCGTTTCAGCATTGCTTACAATAGGATACGTGAAAACAACCAAGTAACAACAAAGGGTTGATTGATACATGTTGACTCAACCCTCCATGAAATACTATACAGCCACTAAGATGTTAGGCACAATCTTTATTGATGAGGAAAGATGTTCACAGCATATTGTGAGGAGGAGAAAAAAAGGCAAGTTACAAAGCAGTGTGCTTGCAAGTTACAAATTAGTATAAACAGAGTAACTCCATTTTTCTTTTCTTTTCTTTTTTCAAATAAGTGATCTATATGAACAGGAAAGAAAAACATCTAAAAACATATGACTTCAGAGCAGCTGTCTTTGAATAATATTACTATTTCTGGACCGGTGAGATGGCTCAGCAGATAAAGGCTGATGAGCTGAGCTCAAGCTCCAAGTCCCACTTCATGGAAAAGAACAAACTTCAGTAAGTTGTTCCCTGACCTCCACACACAAACTATAGCACACACATGCAAACACACATACAAAATTAGTTTAAATAATTTTAAAAATATTAAACGTGTCTCCCTTTTCACGATGCTTGGCAGTGTTTTCTAACAGTGTTAAAAAAAATTATTCTTAAATAAGGGTTGGCCTAGGTGATTTATAATGTCCTGGTCATCTGACACTACAACTGTTACTCCAAGCTCTCAAGTGATTTCAAAGAGCTCTTTTATTTACTGGGCTTTCCATGTGGCCCTTGGAGTCAAGGCTTTTGCTAGCAGCTGTAGCCCTGTACATTCCTCTCTCCCATATTCACTGCTCAGCTGTCTCCCCTGTCAGGCCAGGAGCTTCTGTTTGGCAAGGCTCAGCTGTACCCCTATTTGTAATCCATGTACCTCGTCAAGAGCTGGGCAAAGGAGCATTGCTCAGCATGCTGACAGGTGCCATGTGGGCACAAAGAGATAAAAGGCTCAACTTAGATCCTACTGGATAGATTCAAACACAAAGTACTTGGCTTTATCACTGACTATGAAAGGCAGAAAAGAGAGCAGGGCAAGCTGGCAGGAAGGCCTAGCAAGGGAGAAAGCCATGCAGGATGGTGGGCAAGGGGTACAGCCTGAGCAAGGGTGAAACCAGCACAGAGTTCTTCAGAACATATTCTTCAAACATTTCCAAGAAGCTTCCACAATCCTGGTTCTGATAAATGTCTACCATGGCCCAAATGGATAACCGTTAAGTCTCTCAAACAGTTCTCTAATCTATGCCTGGGTTAGTCACCAGAGACAACAAAAAGTCTTTTTGGGACATCGACTATCCACTTTCCCCAACCCTCCTAAGGGGAGAGCTGGGGGAGGGGAGGGTCCGGGAAGGGCTATGGGAATGGGGAAGCAGCAGGATTTTTGGGACATCGACTATCCACTTTCCCCAACCCTCCTAAGGGGAGAGCTGGGGGAGGGGAGGGTCCAGGAAGGGCTGTGGGAATGGGGAAGCAGCAGGACAACCAGACAGCTCACATGCAAATACGGCTCACCCCACCAGCAGGCCTCTGGCTTCTCCGTCAGCAGCACCACCGGCCCCATTGCACAGATGGAGGAACCCGGCTGGAGAGTTAAAATGGCTTGCTCCAAGATCACCCAGCCAGAGAGCGGGGAAGGCGACTCCACTCAGGCCTTCTGACTCCAAGTCCAGTGCTATTTCGAGGTAACACACAGGACCTGGAGTCAGGAGCCCTGGGTGGCTCTGTCACCCCCTGGCTGAGTGGTCGTGGACAAGCAGCTCACCCCTCACAGCCTCTTCCCCAACTGTAAAATGAGGCGGCGGGCTGCCCCGCCCATTCCCGCTCTGCTCTGAGCCTTCTAGGGGCGGCTGCAAAGCTCCTGGTATCAATTACATTTCCCAAGTTGGCCCGGCAAAAGATCACCCGGAGATCTTCGGCCTGTCACATGATTAACTTAAAGTTGGGGGGGGGGGCCGGAAACAAACGTCCCAAATTAACTTTCACTGCACTGCCTCTGCTTACACCTGATCACCCAATTTTCTAGTTTCCTTGGACTAAGCAGCCCTACTGAGTAGGATAGGCTGGCGGCTAAAAGGGCAAACAATTAATTACCGGTGAGCCAAACATCAAAGGTAAAAAGACCAGGGTCCTGTCCAGAGCGGACAGCCCTGGTATGGATGAAGGCGTCTCCCTGGCTATTTCGGGCCTCTTCTGCTAGGTTTTTAAGTGTAGAGATAAAGACATGACTCCAGGCAATAGAAATCTGGGGTGCGGGTCTTCTTGGGGGATACCATACCGCCCCCACACCACACCTCTGGTCCCATGCTATCCACTCCCAGGGTGCTGAGCTAGGGCCCGACTCCGGCAGACACAAACACCAGGCGTGTGACCGTGCCCAGCGACGCTTGCCGGGAGCTCCACCGCAGTTTCGTCAGAGGTAAAGGTACGCGCCCGGCGCGCGCGGCGTGCGCACACGCGCAAGGGACACACACACTTACATACACACACACACACACACACACACACACACACACACACACACACACACCACTCATTAACACCCCCTCCCGACCTGAAGGAACGCGATCACTTGACACTGTCCCCTTTCGGCCTCTGCTGGGAACCCACCCGAGCGCGCCAGTCACACAGCACGCGGCCCCGCAGCTCCCGGACGCCACGGCGTTTGCGAGAAAGCTGCCGCCCGCCGTCCGCCGCGAGTGGCGGGCTTCCTCTCTGCGACAGCCTGGTCGCCACGACGCCCGTCCTAGACGCCAGCGGGAGCCTCTTCCCCTAGCCGAACGTCTCGGCGGCTGCGTCCCCCCCTTCAAGTTGCGTCTCGCCGCAAGGAGCCGGCTTGCAAGCCTCTCCCCGCCCACCCGGTCCCATGACAGCTGCTACCGCCCAGCGACTGGTAGATTCTAACCAGAAGCAAAGTTTCCCCTCTCTCCTCCCACCTCCCACCCCCCAGCCTCCGCCTTCCCCTCCCTCCCAGTGTTATGCAAAACCGGCCGGCACAAACGCTTCCACACCAGGTACTCAGGCCGTCCCCGCCGAATCCCGCGGGTTTCCGCCTGGCAGCCCCGCTCGGTGCCCAGGCGTGTCCCCGCCTTCGGGGTCTCCTCCCAGGCTCCACCGCATCTCTAGCCTCTCGGGGACACGCAGCCAGGAGGAGCCGGGAGCAAAAGCCCTAACTCCGGAGCCAAACTTTAGACTTGCAACAGGCAGGGGCCGTGGGGGGGGGGGGGCACAGGGGGGGGGGGGGGGGCGCACGGCGCATACACACATTTCCCCCCGCGATTGCTTGTCCCAGCAGCAAGCCTCGTTTTAGTCTCCGAGCCAGCAGCTTCCTCGTCCTCCCTCCCTAACACCAGAGCACACTCCTGTCATGCGCTCGCAGCCGGTGAGGCTTCCAGTCTCAACCAGAGCCCGGGACGCCGCCTCACTTTCCCATCCCCCTGCAACGTGGAGCGCGCACCGGGGCCGCGCGCCGCAGGGGGACCCAGGCGCCCTCCCCACCAGATAGCCCTTCCGCCCGGATCCTGTCTTGCTCTTGCCTGGAGGGTCTCCTCCGGAGAGTGAAAGCTGGAAGACGCTATCTCCGCCCGCCTGTCCACGTGCCCCGCCGACCCCCTAAATCCCCCTAGCCGACAACTGACAGGAAACTCTGCGCTGCGGGAGCAGGTGGGGGGCTGCGGGAAAACCAGCAGCAGCGCTCGGGGTGTCCGAAGCTGGAGAACGGGGGGGGCTCCAAGGTTGCCGGCCGCCTCCCTTACCCCTGCCACAAGTGCACGTGAAAGTACGGCGGCAAGTGCCGGGCGCCGAGAACGCGCCTACAGCACCCAGAGCCAGCCTTAGGGGTCCCCCGACCCCGGCTGGACTATACCTGCCCAAGGAATCGCGGCGCCCCTCAACTTTGCCGGTAGGGGACCGGCAGACTCCAGGTGGCCCTGGCCAGCCCTTCCCGGGTGGCTGTGTCCCCCCAATGCTACAGCATGCGCCGGCGACCTGCAGGTCACTACGCCTGTAACGGAGCGCAGCGCAAGGCACGTGGGAAGGGGGGCTCTGCAGCCTGAACCCCCCGATCGCCCCGGTGCGCCCACCGCTGCGCTCATGCCTCCGCAGCGGCGGCTGCAGCCCCGCAGCTCTGCACCCCGGGGTCCCTAGCCTGCGCTCCTCCCAGTTGGCAGTACCTGCGTGTCAGAGAGATAGTTGAGAAAGAAGGACGAGAGCTCTTCATCCAGCAGCGCGCCGCAGTCGTTCCCCGCCATCTTCCAGCCGCGGCTGCAGCGTGCGGCGGAGTCAGCGCCGAGCCCGCCCGGGGGAGGGAGCGAGCTAGCGAGCGAGGAGGGAGGAGGCAGCCCGGCGGGCGGGTGGAGGGCGGAGCTCGGGCTCCGGGCTGCGGCAGGCGGGCTGGCTGCGGGGGCGGGACCGCGCGAGCCTGGGGTCGCACCCCCCACACTTTCCCTCCTCAGAGTCTGTCGCGGCGACTAGGTCTCGCAGCCCCCCGCAGGGAAAAAAAAAAAAAGCACCGGCAGCCAGGTGGCGGTGTCCCGGCTACCAGCCTGGTGCCTGCGCAGCAATGCGGGCACCCCCTCCTTACTGCTAGAGCGAATCACGTTGCGTTAGCGCTGGGCGGGCCCTTGCCAGACAACCTGCTTCTACACAGCTGGGGAAACTGAGGCGCCAAGAGGCTTAGAACCGCGCTTGAGGCCGCAGTGCGCTTCAACAACCAAAGAGAACGCTTCTGAGGCCTAAGTTCCCTCTCAGCCCAGACTGCAAGGCCAGAGAGGGAGGGAGACACGTGCAAGTCAAAGGTGGAGAAATCAGAGAAGGCTCCTCAGAGAGAGTGGCATTCCTATGCTTTCTTTGAAGCATGTTTCTTACCCATTTCCTGTTAAGCCTAACCATCTCTCTCCCCTAGGGCCACCCAGTAAGCTTCCTTGAAAAAAAAAAAAAAAATTCAATCATGTCTTTTACTGTAGCCCACAGTATCTAGAATTACCTAGGCTTCTGTCAGCCTCTGGGGCCTATTGGCCATCTCCCTTTTCTTAGTATGAACCTTCTAAAAAGGAACTGCTACGCCAATCAGCCATTCACCAAATAATGGCATCTTTAGGGCATCCTTACCCATCAACCTCGTAAGTACCAACCCATTTGTTGCTCTCCTACCTCAAGCCTATGCAACCTTTCCCTTAGAAGTATCTCAGAGGCACTTGTACCTTAGCTTTCCATGAAGGCTTGATCTCAGTCTGTCCTTGCTAGAGTCTAAGACGCAAGAAACCAGGCTTAAATCTTGCTTTGGCTATTTCTCCAGTTTACCAGAGGTATTTAATAACTAATGTGTTAATTGAAAAGGCTAGAGAATTAATTGAAAAGGCTAGAATTTAACCTCCTCCTCCTCCTCCTCCTCCTCCTCCTCACCACCACCACCACCACGGCCACCACCACCACCACCCCACACTCTACAGATGAGGGAACTGAAGGTCAGGAGTGCACACCAGGAGAGTCCTGAACCAGAGCCAGGAAGCAAACCTCCTGACTTCAACCTTGAACTCTCATCACTTCTGTGCTTGCCAGGCAGGCATCTAGGTGTGTGCTAGGGAGGTGTGGTGGGAGGGGGGGTGGTGGATAAAGGCTGGAAGGCAGGAAGACCTGTTTATTGGGCACACCTGCCTCCCGCCCTGCTCCCACAGGGCACTGCTGACAAGAGCCGCCCCACCCTGTGGGCCAGCAGGCTCCTTCCAGCAAGAAAAGGAAACAGCCCCAGCACACCTGCTCAGACTTGAGCCACACAGCAACAGCTTCCTTCTTCTCCAGTCTGAGGTTCCCAGAACCGCAGGGTGTGATTTCACTGTTTGGGCTCAAAGCCAGCTCGCTTTTAAGGAACAATGCTGCCAACAGAAAGAATGTACAGCTAGCTTCAGAGGAGTCCTGGGTTCTGGTCCAGCCCACACTGTCTGATGTTCCATTGCTGGGCAACTCAGTCAGTGTGACTGCCTGGGTTTGAACCCCAGCAGGTCATCTGCTCTCAGGGCTTCGTTTTCTCATCTATACAAATGGGGATAATAAAATCACTTACTCATAGTGAGGTTATGAAGATAAAGAGATAAAATATGTAAAGTGCTTGGCACAAGGCCTGACCTTAGGGGGAGCGCTAAGCTGGCTGAGGAGAAAACAGCTTGGTAGGCACTAGCCATTTTTACTTACCTTCCCTCCAGCACTTAAACTTTGTCCTACTCCATTCAGGTCTGAACCTGGTGCCAACTTGCTAACTGTGTGCTACTAAAAGTAAACTGTGTGTTACCTAAAAGTAAAAGGAGAATTGGACATGATGAAGCATGTCCAATTCTCTATAAGCCTAATGTTTGAAAAGTGGAGGCAGCAGGGTAGGAGTTCAAGGTCATCCTTGGCTAAATAAGGAATATGTGAGATACTGCCTCAAAAAATAATAGATAGATAGATAGATAGATAGATAGATAGATAGATAGATAGATAGATGGGCTGGGGAACATAATTCACTTGGTAGAGCATTTTACCCATCACACATAAAGTTCCGAGTTCCACAGTACAGAATAAAACTGGGAATTGTGGCATATATTATAATGCCAGCAGTGGGGAGATAGAGACAAAAGGATCAGACATTCAAGGTCATCTTTGGCTACACAGCAAGTTTGAGGCCAGCCTGGGCTACAGGAGATCCTGTCTTACAAACTCAAAACAACAACAAAAAGTAAAAGAATCGCTTGCTTATCCTCTCTGAGCCTCAAAATGGGGGCACCAATGTTATTCCACATAGGCTCGTGTAAGGGTCAAATGAAACAATATGTGTAAAATAAATGACTTGGCCCTGGTCCGGCAGGCAGGAAGTGCCCATCACCACCATTACCATCCTCATTATCACCAAAAATTTGAATGTTCTTAAGGCGGCTGCTGCTGCTGGACCAACTCGGAGTCCTATGGGATGGTTTCGAGAACTGTCTGAATTCAGCCTGGCCTTTTGGTGTTGTTCCTTTTATAGTCCAAGGGATACACTGGATCCTTCCCCCACCCCCAGCCAGCGGTCTCTGCCTATGGCCTTGCAGAGTGTCTGCCCTGTTGAGTGCCTTGCTAGGGACTTGTTCAGAGGTTTTGTTTGTTCTCATACCCCCAGTGGTGGTGTTGGAAATACTACCCATTGCCCAGCCTTGAGGGCTTCATCACTGATCCTCTGATTAGGTTGCGGCTGGCAAGACATTTAGGGTAAACCCTCTCCTCCTGAGTTTAGCTTGCTTCATCAGAGGCAATAACTGTCACCCTCTTGCCTCCCTGCAGGAGTGTGGAGTTCTTCCTTGAGAAAGCCCTCAAGCCCACACTGAGCATTCATGCCAGTAAACCCAGCACTCAGGAGGCCGAGGCAGAAAGATTGCAATGCAAGTTTGAGACCACTAGAGGTTACATAGTGAGACCATCTCTCAGAAAAGAAAAGGGAAAAAAAAAAAATTCCTCCAGATCGCAGAACATCTCATGCTGTTTGCTGGTCTTCCAATGCAAAAGCCACTGGACCAAACTGTGCAGAGAGTCCTCTGACCCAGATGGACTTACAGTTCTCGGGCCAAACCTGCCAGTTCTTTCCGTGCATCTGAATGAACTGTGTCATCTCTAATCCCTTCAGCAGCCCTCAATAGGCTGAATCACGCTATCCATTATTAATGTCTCAGGGAAACGAAAGCTTGAGAGGGGTTAAAGTTTGGGATCTAGCTCAGTGATGGAACATTTGCCTAGTGCACTCTAGGTCCTAGGCTAAACCCCCAGGACTCACTGCAAAAGGGGTTGAAGTGATTAGCTCCAGACCCAGCCCTAGAGGACCAGCTGAGGTGTGTACCAGGTCAAAGCCACAGCCCCCTTAAAGGGAATAGGAAGTACCTCCCAGCAGCTGGCCACCCCCAAGGAAGCCAGAACGGTGGCACATTTCTTAGTTTATGACTTTCAAGGGAAAGGCAATAATACTGCCAGAGGTGGACTCCTATGCAGCTCCACTTCTATTTCCTCTGCCTTTTTATTGGCCTTGCCTCCCTTGAAAGCACTGAAAGTGAGCGTGGAGCATACCCAGCCCAGCCCCAAGCCCAGAGCACTCCAGGCTCCTGGGATAAGTCAAAGGAACCTACCTATAGGACCAAACTTCAACATTTCAGTCTCCACCCACAAATGCTCAAAGTGAAAACAGCAGCATTTCTTCTGATAACAGAAGAATGATCTATTTAGACACTGCAGCTGTGCTTCTCAGGCTCTTGAGGACATGACAGTCACATGGGCTCTGTCACTAAAGTGGGCCCAGTTTTAACAGGTTCCCCTAGGTGACTATGCTGCCCATCATTCAACAGGTGTTTAATAAGCACCTGCTATGTACCAGCTCCTGCATTTGGTGTACACATAAGCCAGTGTGTAGAACATCTGTCATCCTTGCCCACATACTGGCCAACACAACTGTTAAGCAAACTATTGTTCAATGAGAGAGGGCATGGGTTTTAGCAGGCAGTGAGGTTTGCTGCCAGCCACCACAACTCTGTGAGCCTACGACTGAAGCTAGGGTACCACATTGCCACATGCTGCTCTATTTCCCAGCTTCTATGCCCAAGGCAGAACTCAGGCCAAGATGAACTTTTTAAAAATAGCACCTTTGACCACTCATGGAGATAACCTAGAACCTCTGCACAGATGTAGCCCATGGCAGCTCAGTGTCTAAGTAGGTTTCCTAGTAATGGAAACAGGGACTGTCTCTGTCATGCTCTTTGATCACCTCCCCCTGAGGGGGGTGCAGCCTTACCAGGCCACATAAGAAGACAATGCAGCCAGTCCTGATGAGACGTGATAGACTAGTGTCAGAGGAAAGGGAAGGAGGACCTCCCCTATCAGTGGACTTGGGGAGGGGCCTGGGAGGAGATGAGGGAGGGAGGGTAGGATTTGGAGGGGCCTAGGGAGGAGCTACAGCTCAGATACAAAGTGAATAAACTGTAATTAATAAAACAATAAATACAAATTTAAAAATAGCACCTTTGTATGGTTCATCCTAAAAGTCACTGTCTTTGTTAGGGTTTCTATTGCTGCAATGAAACATCATGACCAAAAGCAAGATGGGGAGGAAAGGCTTCATTTGGCTTACTCTTCCACATTGTAGTTCATCACTGAAGAAAGCCAAGACAGGAACTAACACAGGGCAGGAACCTGGCAGCAGGAGCCGATGAAGAGGCCATGGAGGGGTGCTGCTTATTGCTCCACTCCACAGCTGTTG